CTGAGTTGTCTGTGGTTATCACTAGTAAGATATAGTATTCGCATGAATGTTGAAATCAAAGTGGTTGTAAACTGATTGACAGCTGTTTATATATATTATCAAGTTACCCAATTCTACTGTGTATTGCAAGATAGACTTTGTCAACTCAGAAGTGACCTTTGTCATGCGTATCAATGCCCTGTTCTATGTAGCTTTATGTCTGCATTCACTGTTTTAAAAAAAATTATATTTGCTATAATAATTATTGTCACACTTGTTGAATACAACTTTAATTTTCTTCTAAGTCAACTGAAACAGTCTGACAGTATGTCGGGCACGGTATGCTATAATTGATGTTTTATCATTGATAATTACATTTTAGAAACGTACAGTTTAATTAAATACAAAAATTTTATTTAACTGATACGCGTCACTACATATTTACAGTTTTGTAAATATTTTAAGTACATTGTGAATACAAAGATAGCGACAGTGTTATGATTAATTTTTATTTTAATAAAAATTTCTCGTAAATATAAATGTCGCATGTTTAATCCCCCCCACCAGTGGCACAGCGGTATGTCTGCGGATTTACAACGCTAGAATCCGGGTTTCAATACCCGTGGTGGGCAGAGCACAGATAGCCCATTGTGTAGCTTTGTGCTTAATTACAAACAAACACCATGTTTAAGTAGAACTTTCATTTTATTGTAAGTGGACTGAAACACTGACAGTTTTTCTGACATAGTATGTAATAATCCTAGACTGAGTAATAAAATATTCATTTAAACTTTATGTAAGGAACTTTTAAATTTCAGTATTTATAGTATAATGTACATATGTAGAGTTCATTATTAAACATACTGTTGTATTATGGTCAAATTGAATATATTTAGCGATCTGTAAAAATGAATATTAATTAATCTATTATTATAAATTATTATAGTAAGAGGTGTTAAGTATGTATAATAATATATGGTTTTTCTAATCTTGTATATTTTTTAACCAAGATGGTCAGTGGCCTTGAATATCAAACACTTCGGACTGTCACGCTTTATTTCATCGAACTGGTGTGTTTTCGTCAAACTTTGTTCTATTTCTACATTGCAACACAGTACTTACTTCGCAAACCACATAGACATGGCCAACTCAGAACTGACCTTTGAATGAGTCAATATCTACAAGGTGTTGTAGAAGAAAGCTTTACATTTGATCACGTACTGTCACAATCCTTTCTCACTATAAGGAGTGAGTATGTGTATGTTTCGTGATAGACAGTTTGAAATTTTGGTATTTTAGATAATAGTAATCAGTATGTCGTTCATTTATTATATGTAGTTGTAAGGCGATTATTGGTTATCTATGATTTATGAAACATTAAGTGTCCTACAGAACATTGAAAGAAGTTATGTATTCCAAAATTTGTGTGTGTTTGGAGATGATCAATGGTTATTTATAAAATGGACGGACACAGTAAGTCAGTCATTTATTATTTTTATTAAAGATAATGAATTTTAACATAATTAAATCTGGACGTTAACTTGTAGAAGTACTGTTACAGTATATTTGTTAAGATCCTATGGTAACAAAGGTAATTAAGTATATGTGAAAGTCCGCCTTTGTAAAACATGAGATAAAGTAACGTGTAAGTTATTTTGTCACAAATTAGTAAAAGTGTTATTGCATAGTAAACGTTTTATTGATGTTGTAAATTGTTGTATAAAATATAAGTTTTAATTATTGTATGATATTGCCTTTTTTAGGGCGATTTAAACATATAGTCGTGTATTGAATGCGTCAGATTGAGTAAGATATAATCTTTTTAGGACAGGAAATGTAATAATTTAGTACTGAAAATCTTTAATTTCTTGATTGAGTAAGTTTTAATTATCATATTGTCCTTGTAGGACTAATAAATGATAAGGAAATGTAATGTCCTTTTTAGGACGATTAATTAATTAATTATAGACATGATGATACATGCATTGTATAAGTCATGGCTGCCAAGAAACACGTTCTCTATTTTGTGGTACTATTACGTAATCATCCATCATGGCCTCTGGTGGCAAAACATGGAATTATTACTTCGTCATCTTTGATGACATCACTCCCCTCCCCAACTTCCGTCTTCATTTGTCATGGCGGCATGTCAACTTCCGCCTGTGAAGTGCGGGGATAACTACTTTGGTGGGGAGATCGCAGATAGATGTTTAGATGTGTACTTAACAACAAACAAACAAGTTCTTTAATAACACGTGACCACGTGTATTTAAATAAGGTAGTGATAAAAAACATTAATGAAAAAGTTCTAAGTACGAATTATCAACTCCTTTACATACATATGTAATTTTCAAATGTTCCTATTTTCACTTGTTAACATTTGAAAGCGCTAACTTTTTTTATTCATTGAAACGTTCTATGTAAGAATAATAAGGGATAATTTCTTAATTAATAAAAAGGAAAGGCTAGATATTCTTCCTTTAAATAGGGTACTGATAAAAACCACAATAAATGAAAAACAACATTGAATGAATCACTACAAATTCAACATTTTTGTTGCTTTATAAGAATTTTATTTTCTAGATAAAGATATTTGAGAGATAAACATATTCCAAAGAGAAAGTAACCACGATAGATTCAGATTATTATATTATAGGTAATATGTAGACGTTGGTCTTCGTCAGCTGTTAAAGTGGTCCGTTGAAGCTGGAAATATCAGTTACATTAAAATAATTATGTATTAATGTAAAATCACTTAGAACAAACTAATAACATTTCATTCGATATGTCAGTCAAATTACTTAATACCAAATTTGATAAAAAATAACAAAATACTAACCAATAATAAGGACAACTTTGTTATCATTGATTTCATAAATCTTAGCTTGATAGTCATAGAAATGAAAAGCTAGTCAGGTTTGTTATGAATTTCGTGCAAAACTACATGAGGGCTATCTGCGCTAGCCGTCCCTAATTTAGCAGTGTAAGACTAGAGGGA